TTTACTTCTCTAGTAGATACTCAATAAATCAGAATCAGTGTCAATAAACATTTATTAATTGCCTAGGGTGTGCCAGACGTTGTGCTAAGTACTGGAGACACAAAGAAAGGCAAAAGACAGCCCCTGCTCTCAAGGAGCTCACATTCTAATGGGGGAAGAAAATATAGAAAAAGAATCTGGAAAAGGTGAGGAGGTACCAGGAATGGGGGCATGATGAATTCCTGCAGCCAAGGTGAGAAATGACCTGAGAGGTGTGAGTTATGGAATTGATTTTATCTTGCATGAGTTTCTAGAGATCATGAAATCCAGGAGAACAGTCAGGTGGGAATGATCAAATCCTTGATAATTGATAAGCACTGGATAAATATTGTGGTTAAGTAAGTGACAAAAATGTCCCTAACCTTTAACTGAGAGAACTCACTGCTACACATAGATTTCAAGGAGATCAAAGGTAGAAATAATGGTAGAAGTAGGTCATAGACACCAATATATTTAAAGCAGCCTCTTTTGTAGTAGTAAAGAGCTGGAGTCAAAGTAAATGCTTGTTAAGTGGAGAAGGCTAAACAAATTGTGGTATGTGAATGGGATAGAATGTTATTGAACAAGAAGTGATGAATTTGAAGCATATAGAGGAGCATAGGAACATAAATGGACTGATGCAAAATAAGCATTTATTGAGTGCTTACTATGTTCCATGTACTATGTGATAGATATGTTAAAACATAACACAGCAAAAAATTGGCCCTGGTCTCAAGCAGCTTGTAGTCTAACGAGGGAGATGACTTGCAAACAATTATTTGCATTTAAGATACATACAGGGTAAATTGGAGGTAATCTCAGAGGAAAGGCACTAAATTGAATGGGGCCATGAAAGGCCTATTGTAGAAGGTGAGATTTAAGCTTGAAGTAAACCAGGAGGCTGAGAGTAAGAGGGAGAACAGTCTAGGCAAGGGGCCTAGAACATTCTAGGTAAGTCAATGAAAGGCAGAGTAGGGAAATGGCATGGCATGTGCAAGGAATAGGAAGGGTCCTGTGCTGCTGGAGTGTAGACTGCATGAAAGGGAATCAAGTGCAAGAAGACTGGAAATGTAAGAAGGGTCCAGTCAGGGGTGGGGAACCTGTGGCCTCGAGGCCACACATGGCCTTCTAGGTCCTCAGGTGCAGCCTTCTGACAATCAAGAAAACAAAAAAATCAAGCCCTGATTTCCGAGGTGTAAATGTTGACACTGAAAATTTAATAACTGGCTCCTTCAAGTTTAAGCTGGCTCTAGCATATCCCTGGTAATGATACCATTTTACTAATGGTAAAAAATGTCAAAAAATGTCATTAAAAAAATTTCTCCCTAGCCCATTGCTAATCCCATATCCTCACCCTATCTAATTATTTTAAATATATCTTATTTCATTAAATATTTTCCAATTACATATAAAAATTTAAACATTCATTTTAAAATTTTGAATTCCGAATTCTCTCCCTCCTTCTGCCCCTGCCCCACTCCTTGAGAAGGCAAGCAATATAATATGGATTATACATGTGAAATCATACAAAACATATTTCCATGCTAACCATGTATTTTTCATCATAGGTCCTTTTTTTTTTTTTTTTTTTTTTGCTTTGGTAATCGGGGTTAAGTGACTTGCCCAGGGTCACACAGCTAGTAAGTGTCAAGTGTCTGATTGTTACTGTGTACAATGTTCTCCTGGTTTTGCTTGCTTCACCTTGCATCACTCCATATAAGTCTTCCCAGGTTTTTCTGAATGGATCCTGCTCATCATCAGTAACAGCAATATTGTAAGAATGATCAACTGTGAAAGACTTAGCTGCTCTGATCAAGACAATGATCCATGACAATTCCAAAGGACCCATGATTGGAGTAGCTAGGTGGTGTAGTGGATAGAGATCTGGCCTTGGAGTCAGAAGGACCTGAGTTCAAATCCAGCCTCTCAGACACATTACACTCACTAGCTGTATGACTCTGGGCAAGTCACTTAACCCCATTGTCTAGCCAAAAAAAGGTCATCTAGTAATGCCCATCTAATTATTTGCCAGTTTCTTTTGGCTTGACCTTCACAGTATTTCTTGCATCCTTAGAACTGTAGAAATTTACATAATGCTAGATTAGCCTTTGGAAAACCAACACTACCTCCAGATCAGGAGGAGGCATTCAAGGAGAACTGTAGAACTGGAATTGTAGAATGATGTTAGATGTGAAGTGAAGTTTTGGAAATTATCTAGTCCAAACTGATTTTCCACTTGGGATAATTGAAGCCTAGAGATGTATCTTCTATTTCTAGTCATTGCCCCCTAACCAGATGTGACTGTGAGCAAACCATTTAACTCTTCTAGACTATAACTTAACTCTTTCTTCATCCATAAAAAGGAGAGCGTTGGATTAGATGATTTTTAAGGTCTCTTTGGTCCCACCAGTGATTCTTTAATGCACAGCTTGTTGGTGACAGACATGTGACTAGAACCCATCTGACTCCCAGGCCAGTGCTTTATATAGCTCTCTGCCGCCATAGACCTTGATGTCTCCTTGTTTCCTCCTTTCCATTCCTGTTGCCACCATCTTAGTCCATCTTAGTCTGCCCCTGGGTTATTGAAATAAATCTCCTAGTGAGTTTCACTACTTCTGGTCCCTCTCACAACTAATTCATCCTTTACTCTATGGCCTAATCACCTCACTTCCCTGCTCAAAAACCTTCAATGACTCCCTAATTAATGATTGAATTTAAGTACTAATTCTGCTCATTACCACCTATGCAATTGTGAGCAAATCAAAAACACCTTTGGGCCTTACTTTCTAGTACTAGATCTATGATCCTGTCTACAATCTTTATCTTGCTTTTCAAGGCTCCTCACAATCCTCACAAACCTACCTTATCTTATACTACTCATATCCTCTGCATTTCAACTAAACCTGACTACTCACTGTCTTCCAGTACAGCCTATGCTTCCTTCCCTCCATGCCTCTGCAATGTATTATGTATCTAGATTATCTCCACCCATCTCCGCCTGTTGATTTTATATCCATCCTTCAAGATTTTTCTCAAATGCCTCTGCCTCTATGAAGTCTTCCCTCTTCCCCCAACCAGAGTTCAGATAGCGCTTACACTTTTCATAGGCACTTTTTTGGCCTTTGTATCATATTTATTCATACAAATTTCATTTCCCCTTTTAGCATCAACTCTTTGAGGAAAGGGACCATTGTTATTTATCTTTAAAGTCCTTTCAGTGCTTAGCACAAGAACTTACACACAGGTAATCAGTAAATATTAAATGAATGAATGGAAGAGAGGAAGCCTTGGGGGCTTTCCTTATTACTCTCTGTAATGATTGGCAAGCATCAAAATAACCATAAAACACAATCCAGCCATATCCTTACTATCCTAACAAAGTATATTTTCTCCAATTGGGGGAGTGGTGTTAGCTAGCATAAATAGCTATTATTACACTATATAAGCAGTAAATAATCCAGTAAGGCTGTGAAGAGAAATAGAGCCATAAAGTTAAGACTTGGGTTATTAAGGCAACCTATGTAAGCCAGTTTTATATTGGTTATTATCTATAGTGAACTTTAAAATGGAGAGATCTCATACTTGTAAAGGAATATTTAGATAAATTCTAATGGATTGCTATATCGTGAAAACTTTCTGGAAACACTTTAAATCATGATAAGCCATAAGTGAAAATGTGACAAAGGCTGAATTCAGTTAGAAACACCTCACATCTGAAATACTGGAATGAATTTAAAATGAAAAAAAAAAAAGAAAAGAAAATGAAGAGGGAAAGTAGCAATTGTTTTTGTTCTCCCTTTAGACTCCAATCTTAAATTCCTTAAGACATTTGACCTGTCTTCTCAATTGTTCTGACTGAAAATCTGATAGGAAGGAGCTGGAGCTGGAGAAAAGCAATTTTTAATTAGGAAGTTTGGAAATGGATCAGGATAATAAGAAATCAGCTAGCATAAGGAGTCTGCTTCCATTTAATTCAATTTGAGAGAATACGATATAAATTACATCACATATAAAATGAACCAATAGCTTTTTGCTAGTTCTTTCAAATGTGGTGTGTAACTCAGTAAAAAAAAAATGCACTTTTTGCTTACATCTGTAACATCAAAAAAAGATTTTTTATGAAACTCGTCATTTTCGGAATTAATCAACCCTACTTCAAACAATTTTTTTTTTTTTATTTAAGGAACATTGTACTTTCTTTCCAAATTGATATTTAGTTGGAACAGGTGCTATTGTGGCAGCTGCTTTTAAGCTGGTAGGATTTTTTACATCTGGATGCTAGAGCTAATCAGAAAGTGTTTTTCTACCTTTTTCACTATTTGAGGCACAGTTTAAAGATTCTCAGTATATTTTGTAACTCGTTAATTTTTGGCATCCTCTCTCCAACACAGGCCAATATGATTCATTCTTTCTTTGAGCACAATTAGCTGTGAAAACAGATCTTAGACTCTTTTTTTTGCAAAGGATTACTGAAGGTAGGAAATGCAGGTGATTATCAGAGCTTGCCTTTGATACAGACATCCTGCTCCTCTCTGAGCCCTTTGAACTCACTTTGATATGCAATAATTAGGAGGGATTCAGCCCCAGGAGGAGAAGAAGCTGCTGCAGCCCTGCCTCCTCTCTCACTCTATTGAGTCCATGTTTTGAACTATTGATCAAACAGATTTGAAGGGATTTGTTGAAGCCTGTGTGGGGCTGAAGAGGAAGGAAATGTTGGGGGGAGGATGAGAGAAATGGGCACATCTGGCTATAAATACTCCAGGAAGGAGCCTACTGGTCAGCTTTCATTCATCACGTTTCACACACATTACTTAGACCTGAAATTCTCTATTGCAGAAGAAGCTTTGCAAGACTTTATATTTTCATATCTTGGCAAAACTAATTACTAGTTTGCAGGAGCACGCGTGCAGAGGGCAGATAGAGTGAAATCTGCAAGCAAGTCTCCTAAGAATAGCAAACACTGGGATCTGGATACCTGAAAAATGGTGGTAGTTTTCTTGCTGGGACTAAGTTATTTGTGCTCTCCCCTGGGAGCCTTGGTTCTGGATTCTAATACCATCAAGAGTTCTGCTGAGGTACAAGACCCTCGGAAGGTAAAATTTGTGCTGGGGATGAATGCTTATAATCGGGTATGCTGTCTGTCTCATTGCTGAAGTTCCAGATTTTATAATGAAATCATTATAATCCATAGGTTACAGTCTCTTACCTGGAAGGGAGGGGGCTTTGGCATAGGCAATAGGAAATAGTAATAAAATAGTAAAAAAATAAAATAGAAAAAAAATTAAATAGTAGTAAAAATAGTGTTTTATATATATATATATATATATACATATATATATGTATATATACACACACACACAGTGAAACTTGTGTTTTTCCACACATAAAGTGAAGCTAATAATCTAATGCCACTGAACAATGAGATGCTAAGACTCTTTCCAATAATAAACCTAAAGGCTCTTGGGAAGAAAACAACTGAATATGTGGTACTTATGTTATTTTAAGGATAAAGAACCTAACTTCATTTTGTTTGTTAGCATCCTTTATTATGTGTGAAGGCACTGCCACAAAGCCACAGCGCTAAATTTTCAGGAAGGTTCACAAAGAGCAAATGACAATTCCATGAATGGTGGAAGTTGCTACGGTAAAGATAAATACCATAATGGCATGAAATTTGATGATCTTAAGAAGCCAAATGTGGACTCTTGGAATGAAGTTGGCATACAGTAGTTGCTTAATAAATGTTTGGTGGGGCGAATTTTAAAATGTAGGCATTTGACTTTTATCCTGGCTTTGCTTCTCAAGGTCTCAGTTCCCTAATTTGTAAAATGAGGAGGGTTGGATCAGAGGTTCCCAAACTTATTTGGCCTATCACCCCCTTAGAAAAAAATTATTCAGCGCTTCCCTGGAAATTTTACAAATTAGGAAAGAAGTCTCAGATTAAGAGTACAATTGTACCCAAGGCCACTATGGCCCCCCTGGATCATTCCCACGGCCCCCCAGGGGTGGTTTCCCTTACTTTGGGGACCGCTGGATAATCTCTAGCGTCTCTTTGTTCCAAGTCCTTTGAGATATTTGAAATACTGATGGGTTTTCTTGCTCTGTAGTTTCTATTTCTTGTAAGTATTTTTACTCCACAGGGTTCTTCACAGTGCTTGAATGACAAAGATTGTGGTTCCAAAAAATTCTGCCTCAAATCCAGAGATGAAAAGCCATTCTGTACAATGTGCCGGGGGTTACGGAGACGATGCCAGCGGAATGGCATGTGTTGCCCAGGGACTCTCTGTGTCAATGGTAAGCCGCCATGAACCTATGCAGTGCATTAAATGGGATATAGCCCTTAAAAGACACTGCACATGTATACCATATATACAAGAACACTTAAAAGGCTCCTCTAAAAATTTTAGGTTTCTTATAGTTTCACATTCAACTTATGCTTCCTTAACTTAAACATTTCTTAATGAGTTACTCTTAATTTCATTTGTGTTAAGAATTTGTTGCTTAAAAGTAATAATCCAAAATTGAATATTATATCTTGTAATTATTACTTTTTCTCATGATACATATTTCATGTTTCCCTCTTAATTATAAAACTGACTTTAACTTTCTGGGACATGTAAAAAATCTTCCACTAAAGTTATCCTCTAGTCTTCATCACAGTATGGAAGTGACCCTGGATTTTTGCAGGTTATGCTAATAGACCATAAGCAGGTCCTTTATTAAACTGGAAAGGCTTAAAAGCATGGACTGCATAAACTGGTGTGTATGTGAATTCAATAGGCATTTATTAAAACATCTACCATGTACTGGGGAAATAAAGATAAAAACAAATAGTCTTGGTTCTCAAGGACATTACATACTACCTAGGTAATACAAAATATAAAACAAACCACCAGACAATTGATTTTTTTAGCCAAAGCAGTTCAATACTATCTGGATTACGTTCTCTATCATTGAAAGGAGTACTAACAATGATGAAATCATGGTTCTTTTAAGTACTGAAACATGCAACAAGTATTTAAAATAACAGAAGTAGAAAATACGGTTGCTGCCAAAGCATACTATGATATGCTCATGTGCCTGCTCCACAAAATGTAGTAACTCAAGCCCTGAATGACTGTCTCTCAGATGTTTGTACACTCATTGAGGAGACAACCCCAATCCTGGAGAGAAATGATGGCCAAGAAGGCTTGGATTCCAAGGTGACAACTCAGCATCCAATTCAAGAAAGCAAACCCAAAAAGAAGCCCAACATTAACAGATCCCAAGGCAGCAAAGGTAAGGGAACACCATTAACACAGTAAAATGATTTCCTTTTTTCCTCTAGGCTTCTGGGGTTAAGGGACTAGATGAAACAAAACCTGTCTTCTGCCTTCTAATTTAGTTCTGCTGAAAGCAGGAGGCTCAGTGTTAAGAGAGATAGTGGGTAAAGGACAAATTTGGGGTAAAGGGATAGGGAACATGAAATTAGAATAGCAGAAACCAGTGCAGTGCAACATGAATATACTAATCACAAATTATTCAATGATGAGAGAACCCACAAGGTTACATCCTTTGATCCTTAGACTGCATTAGTAAAAGAATTGTACTCTTTACCTTTGCAGAAAAACAAACCTTATCAAGTTATGTGTAATTTTCTAGATGTTTCATTCTGTTTTAATTTATAATATATATTACTAGGATAGAAGTCCCTAAATTGTTCCACAGAATCCAGAGATAACTCCATGATCAGAATATAGATTCTGACAGCAATATTTTCCTCTCTAAAATAGTAAACATAAAACTTTAGTACTAAAGTACTTTCATGGCAATTCTTAGGTAAGAAAGCTTAACTTCCAATCCCATGGAAATTTAAAGCATCATATAATTTCAATGTTGGGACTTTAGCAGACATCATATATACATGTGTGTATATATGTATGTGTGTGTGTGTGCGTGCGTGTCCATGTCCTAAAGCTGTGTTGTAAACATTGTGGCCTTCAAAACTCCCAAGGGGAATCAGATTAAAATGTAATTGTGAAGTGTTTAACAAGATAGATAAAAATCAATGAAGCATAGATAATATTAATTTCAGGGCAGCTAGGTGGCACAGTGGACGGAAGTCTGAAGTCAGGAAGACTCATCTTTCTAAGTTCAAATCTGGCCTCAGACACTTATTAGCTGTGTGACTCTGCGCAAGTCACTGAACTCTGTTTGCTCCAGTTTCCTCATCTGTCAAATGAGCTGGAGAAGGAAATGGCAAACCACTCTAGTATTTGTCAAGAAAACCCCAAATGGAGTCATGAAGAGTCAGACATGACTGAAAAACTACTAAACAACTACCACCATCTTCTGATACAAGTGTAGTGTTACTAAAAAACCTATCTTGATTTTTCTACAGGGCAAGAAGGCGAAAGCTGTCTACGAACTTTTGACTGCAATCCTGGACTTTGCTGTGCTCGTCATTTTTGGACAAAAATTTGTAAGCCAGTCCTCCTGGAGGGGCAAGTTTGTTCTAGACGTGGCCATAAAGATGGTGCTCAAGCTCCAGAAATTTTCCAGCGTTGTGATTGTGGTCCTGGACTGTTTTGCCGAAGTCAAAGTACTGGGCCTCGAAAACATTCACGTTTAAGAGTCTGCCAAAAAATCTAGTCTTCAAATACTTGGAATCTTGTGGAAACACAAACTCAAACTGATTCTTAAAGCCTTTAATATAGACATTTCTTGTAATAGATCATGCAACACTTGAAGTAAGTTAAAGCTAGACTATCTGATACTTTGAAACTACTACTGTAAACCATGGTGGAAAAGGAGCTGGTTCTTTGTCTGTGTTCTTCAATGTACATGAAAACTGAGGTTCCTGAAAACAAAAACATGTAGTTTTAACCTGGTGACTCAATTAATAACAAACCATTAAGTGGTTTCTTGACAGATACGGAAGAAAAGTAAAGGGGTTTGAAGGCAGTAGTAAATGCCTGCAGACTTACAGTGAAAATAACCCCCACAAATATTGGTAAACCAAACACCTGCTGGTTTGATACTGATTTCTCATCCACTAACACACAAATGCCATATCATCATGTGTAGGTGAAATTATATGAGAGTTTACATTAAATACAGTATTAGAAAAAAAGTTTTGTTTAGCAGATGACTTATTTTTGTGTTATGGAATTATAACTCCCAAGGAATTCTAGAACTAAAAATACACATTTCACCTTAAAAAACCTGGCTTTCGTACTTATCTTTATCCATAACATCTGAATGATAATGCCAAGAAAAAGTGAAGAGGACATAATTTAATAGTTGTAAACACAGAAAGATGAACTAGTTTGATTCAGAAGCCAATTTACTAGTGCCAGTTTCTTTTCAAGGGAAATTGCAGCTGTTTGGGTTACAAGTATTAGTTATGACTAAAATATAAGAACAACAGAAGAATGAAATGGAGCTAAAAAAAACAAAACCCTAATTTCTAGAATAAGCCATTGTTTCCTGAAGCCCAGGCACAAGGTATCTGACTGAAGTACAGGTAGGATCTAGGAAACAGCACTGAAAAATCCTTCTTAAGCGGGGCAAAACGTGGCAGAGTAAAATCTCTTGCAGAGATCAACCAGTTTTCCTTTTCTCCCTTCATAATATTTATCTTAAACCCTTCATAAAGAATAAATCTGAATAAAATGTGTATATTTAAATTGATCTATTTGCTAATAAAATAAGAATAATACCACTTGATTGTGCTGGATAGTTTAATGATTACAAGGCTAAAGAGTGAAAAGGAAGCTATTATTTATAAACAGTAAGGACCCTTACACAGTAAAGTTCAAGAAATAAAGATTGCTGTGTGGTGGTTCTTGGCATTGACACAGGCATCACTCGCTTCTGTCTTTGGGTTCTCGGTATTTCCACTGGATATAGTCAAAGATGTCTTTCTCACTGTCAACTGGGAGGGGTTCTCCAGCAACTCCTGTAAAATGGAGGAGAAAAAGATTTCTAGAGTTTAGATTTGGGGTTTAATTCCTATGGCTCACTTTCATTCATCCCCCACATCCAATCAGTTGCCAAGTACTGACATGTTAGAATGTAAGCTACTTGAGAGTAGAAATTGTTTCATTCTTTGTACATGTATGCCCAATGCCTGACACATAAATAAATGCCTCTTGATTAATCTCTCTCATCTGTCCCCTTATCTTCATTCACACAGCCACTACCCTTGCTGAGTCCCTCCCTCATCACCTCTTACTGGAAACTGCAATAGCCTCTGGTCCTAGGCCATCTTGCACATCCTATACATAGCTACCAAATTCCTAAGACACAGATCTGATGGTGTCACTCCCTTATTCAATCTTCAGTGGCTTTCTATTTGCCTTTGGGCTAAAATAAAAACTCCTCAGGCCTTTAAAGCCTGTCACAATATGGCTCTAGCCTAAAGTTTCAGACTTATTTCACAATATATCTTTTCACACATGCTATGTTCAAATTAAATGGCCTCCTTGCTGTTCCCCAAACTCAGCACTTCTCCCTTGCCTCTGTGACTTTCTACAGGTTGATACCCTTGCTTGGAATGCACTCTCTTCTCACAATCCCTCTGAGAAGTTTGAGTTTAAGATTCAGGTCAGGTGCAGCTTCCTACAGTAAACCTTTCCTGATTTCCTAGTTCTAAATGCTTTTTCTCTCTTCAGATTTTCTTGTATTTATTTATCCGTATCTATGTCAAATACCCTATCAGAATATAGACTCTTGGAAGACTCCTGAAAAACAGGACTATTTTCATTTTTGTGTTTCTAACTCTATATTCATAGTGCTTTGCAGATTAGGTTCTTAATAAATGCTTGTTAAATGGACAGGAATAAAGTAAGTAATCTGCAAGTGTTAAAAAAGTTATCCTGAAAAGTGAATAATGTATGATCAAGCAGGAGACAGAGAGCATTATGGGATGTAAAATGGATAATTTTGATTATATCAAATTAAAAAGGTTTTGCACAAACAAAATCAATGCAGCCAAGATTAGAAGGAAAGCAGAAAACTGGAAAAGAATTTTTACAGCAAGTATCTCTGATAAAAGACTCATTTCTCAAATATATAAAGAAATGAATCCAATTTATAAGAATACAAGTCATTCCCCAATTGATAAATGGTCAAAGAATATGAACAGGCAGTTTTCACAAGAAGAAATCAAAGCTACCTATAGTCATATTTAAAAAATGCTCTAAATCATTATTGATTAGAGAAATGAAAATTAAAACAACTCTGAGGTACCACCACATACCTGTCAGATCGGCTATTATGAAAGAAAAGGAAAAAGATAAATGTTGGAGGAGATGTGGGAGAACTGGAACACTAATGCACTGTTGGTGCAGTTGTGAACTGATCCAACCATTCTGGAAAGCCATTTGGAACTATGCCCAAATAAATTGTGCATACCCTTTGATCCAACAATACTACTATTGGGTTTGTATCCCAAAGAAATAAAAAAAAAGAGGGAAAGGACCTATTTGTACAAAAATATTTATAGCAGCTCTTTTTGTGGTGGCAAAGAATTGGAAATTAAGGAAATGCCATCAATTGGGGAATGGTTGAACAAGTTGTAGTTTATGATTGTAATGGAATACTATTGTGTTGTAAGAAATGATGAGGAAGATGATTTAAGAAAAACCTGGAAAGACTTCCATGAACTGATGCAAAGTGAAGTGAGCAGAACTTGGAGAACATTGTACAAAGTAACAGCAATACTGTAAGATGATCAACTGTGAATGACTTGGGTATTTTCTCAGCAATACAACAGTCCAAGAAAATTCCAAAGGATTTGGATGATGAAAAATGCTATCCACAACCAGAGAAAAAACTGATGGAGTCTGAATACAGATCAAAGCATATTATTTTTCACTTTATTTTTTTCGTGGGTTTTTTTGGGGGGGGGGGATTTCCCTACATTTTCTTTCACAACATAACTAATATGGAAATGTTTTGCACGACTGCACATGTATAACCTATATCAAACTACTTACTGTCTCAGGGAGGGGATGGGAGAGAATTTGGAACTTAAAATTTTTAAAAAATGTATGTTAAAAATTGTTTTTACATATAATTGGGGGAAAATGAAATATTATTTTTTAAAAAGGATACCCTAACAGGTTTTATGCTTTGATGGAGATGGGAATGTTTCCTGGGATGAGTATTGAATACTGCCTCTAAGAATAAAGATACAGGGCCTTGCTAAAATTAACCACATTATTTAATGGAAGGTTTTCTAACAGATCAAAGTTGCTAAGAATAAAATTTCTCTGTAAATGACTTTTTTCACTCAAAACGCCCATCGATCATTGCCAACAAAAGAACGATACTTACCAGTGACTCCCAAGGGCCGGATCGTATACTCATTGATTGTGAAGCCCATTTCTAGGGCGTGGGCCCTCATATTCTTATTGAAAATATCACTGCCAGTGAAGTAAAGAACACCACAGTAATACTGGTCCTTGGGAATCAATCTAAAAATACAGAAAAAATGGACAAAATTTTTTATCTAATGTGGTATGTATGAAGATTTTTAAGGTACCATTAAAGGTGAAAAAACACCTAAAAAGCTGTTAATAAGAAAAACATCATATGACATAGTGCTTTAACCCTTTGATAGTGCTCCTCAATAGCCCTCTGAGGTAGGTAGGCGGGTAGAACAGGAATTCCCATCATGCCCATGTTAGAGAGGAGAAAATGGAGGTTTTTAGAGGTGAAATAATATGCCCATGGTGGCACAGGGAATGTTCAAGGACAGATGGAGCTCTGCCTCAGTCTCCTGATGCCAAGGCCACAAAATGTTCTGCTTTAACAAGGTGGCCAGATAACCTGAGGAAAACAGTGCCATGAAAATGAAATTGGCCAAGAAAGGCTCCTTTTGTGGATCTTAACTTAAATATACCCACAATGGGGCTAGTGAGAGTGACTGCAGGATGTCAGGAGGCAATGTTCTGTTGAAAGTAAAGGAAGAGTGAAATGGCAACATCCTTGAATGTTTCATCCCAACAGTCTTTGACCTTCAAACATGAATCTTTTTAGGTGCTAAAAAAAAGAGGTAAGATATAGTCCATTGTGATATTCAGCTTCTCTGCAAAGAACAGAATAAATATTTGTTTAACGACAAAAATCAGAGTTTAGAATCTGACTTCGTTACATACTTCTTCAAACTAAACAACATCTGCAGAAGGAATATATGGTCTTTTGAAAACTATTATTTTACTAAAAAATAAGCACACTATGAAAGTAGAAATAAAGTCCAGGGTTTGTCTATTTAGTAGAAGAGAACTGGATAAGAAAGAGAAACAGAAGAAAAATTGCTCAAGTTGTTTGTTTGTCTTTTTTTTTGTTTGTTTGTTAGGCAATGGGATTAAGTGACTTGCCTAGGGTCACACAGCTTGTAAGTGTCAAGTATCTGAAGCCAGATTTGAACTCAGGTCCTCCTGACTCCAGGGCCAGTGCTCTATCCACTGTGCCACCTAGCTGCCCTGCTCAAGTAGTTTTGAGACAGACTGTGAAGAGTACCTGATATCAATTCTTCTATATGGATATGCAACTTTCTCATCTTCACTTGACAGCTGACAAACACCCTAAGAGCAAACAAATGATAAAAAACAGAAAAGATAATTTAAAAAATGAAAACTTACTTTTAATTACATATTTTAAAAAATGCAAATGTTTAAATCTATACTTTTGAAAGCTTAAATTTTAGATCAGAACCCTATATCTATTCTACCAGCTTTTCTGTTTTTATATTACTATCTTCTGAATGAGTTCACTGATATATAGGTCACTAACCACTGAAAAATCTTCAGTAGCTCATCACTACTTCATTATTAAAATACAACATTACTAAAATTATTTAAATTTATATATAAATACATTTATACATTATATAAATTTATTTAAATAAAATTACTAAAATACAACTCCCTTAAGTTTATATTTAAGACCTCTCATAATGTGGCTCCAGCCTTCCTTTTCAATCTTATTACACAAATATTGTTCTTTATACATTCTCCATTCTAGCTACAATGGAGTAGGCAGCTAGGTGGCTCAACGGATAGGGGCTTGGGCCTGGAGTCAGGAAGCCCTGAATTAAAATCTGTATTCAAACTGGTTGTGTGACTCTGGGCAAGTCACTTAAATCTGTTTGCCTTAGTTTCCTCAACTGTGAAATGGGGGTAATAATAGTACCTACCTCCCAGAATTGCTGTAAGGTTCAATCATATCATATTTGTAAAGTACTTAGTACAGTGTCTGGCACAGTAGGCACTATATAAATGCTGCTATTGTTATCAATATTCTTTGGTCCTAGATCTCATCCTGACTTTTTCCATGGTTCTTTATATTGCACTTCAAATTGTGTAAAGTACTTTCTTTACACACATTATCTCATTTGAGACTCACAACCCTTAGACTTAGGTGCTACAGGCATTATTATCTCCATTTTACAGATGAGGAAGTTGAGGCTCAGAGGGTTTAAATTACTTGCCTCTGTTCACAGAACTATTCAATGTTTGATACAGGATTCAAGCCCAAGACTTCCTGACTCCAAGTCCCAGCACTCTGTCTGCCTGTGATTTCGACCCCACTGGTCCTGTGGAGCACTGTTTCACATGACTGTTTTTCACAAAATTAAAGACAGCTGTCATGCTGCCCTACATCCTCTCTCCTTCGGGTTAAATATTCCTAATTCTTTAAACTAATGCTTATGCAGGCTGGAACATAAGACCCTTTACCATCCTCGTCATCCTCTTCTGGATATTCTCCAGTTTATCAACTTCCTTCCTAAAATATGACATCCAGAACTAAACACAATACTCCAGATGTCGTCTGACCAGGGCAGAGGACAATGGGACTATAACTTTCCTTATCCTGGAAAGAATCCAGAAGTCAAACTATACATGTAACTCTATTCCACAAATTTTAAAAATCCATTCCACTGCAAAGAAAACATCAGTGTCATATAGACAGTGAAACATTAGTTTCTTTGAAGCAGAAAGTGTAATAAGTGGACTTTCAATAGGTTGAAACAATATGAGTAAGTACATACAGATTAATGCTGAGGGTACTACTAAATTCAATTCTAATTCCTTGAAGGGCTTTTCAGGTGATAAAGAAACTACTGTATTTTATTACTTTATAGGTATGAGCCCACAATGCATTTCTAGTCACCAAACAAATGTATACAGTAAGATGAATTCTTTGTCATTTCCAGAAATTTGAGTAGAAAGACCTATAAGGGCACTAATCTATACTTTCTAACAATTTCATATTAATGTTTAAAAAAAAAAAAAGGTAGGTCAGATTCCTTCATTTATCACTTATACGAAGATCAAGGAACCCTATAGGAGACACAGGAGACAGTTTGTACCAGGCCAGTCAACCTGCCACAAATATCAAATCAACTACTACTTCCAGTGAGACTTGGGTGGAGATAGCTTAGGACCCTGACCCCAAGAGCCTTACAAATAATAGTCCCCCCCCCCCCCGCCACCCCTACAGTCCTGCATTTAGCACAACATCTAAGGAAGCAAATCCTGTAGAGAAGAGACCAGCTGTCCCCACCAAACTTAGCGCAAGGCAGCCTAGCTGAAGCAGCAAGGTACCCTAAGGAAGAACCAGGAGACATGATGATACGAAAGTCAAATCCCCATCACTACCTCCTAAGACTTAGGTAGGTAGCCCAGGGCCCTGAACCCAAAAGTCTTGGAAATAGCAGTGCCCTCCAGACTAGCAGTCCTGCTTCTAGCTTATGCTCCACGGCCATGACTGAGAGGACCAATATCTGCAGAGAAGGGCTCTACCTTCCTTGCCACTAACATCAACAGCTGACCAACAGGTAAATCCAGAAGCCTTGGAAAAGGCAGGGCCCCAGTCTACTGGCGTTCCTTTTACCTTAGCCCACTGGGTAGCAATCCCTATGAAAATGTGGCCTGGCAACTGCTTCTTCAGGAACTTCAGGCACAAATACTAAAGATCCCCAAAACAAAGTTCTTGCCACCAAAGTCCTTGGGCCCTGTCAAATGATGTAACTGATAGGATTTGATTGGTGGAACTGATATTAAAGACAATGCATTATCATCTGCTTTGCTATTGTATCCTATCAACCATGGGACTTTTCCATTTTACTTCGATGCTGAAAAGTGCTATATATGTTGTCTCCCTGCATTAGTATGTGTGCCCTTTGAGAGGAAGAACTTTTTACTTTTTATTTAAATCTCAAGCACTTATATAGCACAGTGCTTTCTACATAATAAACACTTACTAAATGCTTTTTTATTCATTCATCCAGTCTTCATGATAAAAACACAGCCACACATGAAACTAAAACTGGGGTGGAATTTAGTCTAAAGTGCTGTAATTTAATGAGTCCCTAAAGACTAGATTATCTTCATTTTGCAGACTATACTTAGGACTTTCCCACACAGAAAGGGGCCCATGGCTAGAGGATCAGTAAAACTTTAGGTTAGCTTCACGACATGAAGCTCATCTTCCTGAGGCATTAACAAGTTTCAACTCAACTTCTACCCTCAGCTGGATCAGAAATTATTTCCATCTGGAATTACCACACGGTAATACCTTACGGATATGGCTGTTTTTGTTCCTGAGGCAATGATCTTGCAGTTTGTCAAGTTGGTAAAAGGATTTATCTAATGGTTTTGCTCCTTTCCTCAAGGCTAATTTGATTTCCTGCACCTTTGCTAGAGAGCTAGTGTTAAAGAATTTCTGTGTATTATTGAAAATTCCTTGCTGGATTGAATGGATTAGCTCTGTTTGGCATTTCAATTGGATGGATTCATGTGGAGTGTTTGAAATAAAACCTCTTTCATTTCCTCAGGGAATTCTAGGTACCTTCTATTGTCCTTGAAATCCTTACTACCCTATTCTATAGAAATTTTTTGAGGCCAAGTTCACACTCAATACTACAGTTAAACTGATTCCTATTATGGTCAATAGTAGGCATATAAAAGGAGAAATGTTCATTTTTTTGACCCTTCTAAATGATATGGCTAAAGAATAAACAGTACAATTATCTAGAGTCTGATTAAACAAACAAAACAAAAAAAGATTTGGACTAGCCCCAGCTTTTAAAAGGCTGGATTACTGTTGCTTACAGGATTTTTTTGTTTAAAAAAAATTATATTCTATCCTGAGGATAACTAACACAACATAGATGCTCACAACTTAATAGGCATTTAGGAATAACGTCAAGCTACTTCCTTGTAGTAGGTCAGAAAATGTTCATGATTGCCAGCCTACAGGTTGTATCATCAAAAGGTTAGGGGATATGACTTTGATAGTTTAATTCTATTTGAATTGACTTTAAGGTCAGGTAGTCTAAGTTCCCTAAAACATCTCTTCTATTGTTTTACCACCTGTTTGCCTACTCCTTGGTAGTCATTCTCTCCATTTTACTCCTATTATTTCATCCTCACTTTTCATTTTCCATTCCTCAATGTTTTCCTCAGCAAGTTCCCTCTGTTCTAACAATCCATTCCCAGACAATCAATCAGTCAACAAACATTTATTAAGCATTTATACGTGCCAAGCACTGTGCTAAGCTATGGGAACACAAAGAAAGGCAAAAACAGGGACAGCCAGGTGGCACAGTGGATAGAGCACCAGCCCTGAAGTCAGGAGGACCTGAGTTCAAATCCAGCCCCAGACCAAACACTTGACACTTACTAGCTGTGTGACCCTAGGCAAGTCACTTAACCCCAATTGCCTTAAAAAAAAAAAAAGAGGCAAAAACAGCTCCTGACCTCAAGGAACTCATATTCTAATGGAGGAGACAATGGGGTGCGTAAAAATTACATAGAAAGTAGATGGGAGGTAAGTGATCTCAGGGGGAAAAGCACTAGCAGCTAAGGGGCCTGGAAAAGGCCACCTGAAGACAGTGGGATTAGAACTAAGTCATCAAGCAAACTAAAAAGGCAGAGAGAAGGATAAGCATTTTAGGCATGGGGCAGAAGCCAGGGCAAGGGAAGTGAGATGGAGGATGGAGTATTGTGTACAAAAACGGCAAGTAGGTCAGAAAAGAGGGACCACAGACAGAGTAAGGAGAAGCAAAATATAAAAAGCCTGGAAAGAGAGAAAGGAGTCAGGTTGTTAAGAGCTTTAAATGACAAATAGAGGGCTTTATATTTGACTCTGGAGTAAAATGGAGACACATGGGCAGACCTATTAGGAAAATCACTTTAGCTGAATGGATTAGAATGGGGAAAGACTGAAGGTTGGGAGACCAATCAACTACAACAGTCCGGACTGAGATGATGAGGGCATGAACTAAGGTAGTGGCTGAGTAAGTGGTAAAAAGGGGACATATATAGATGTTGTGTAGATAGAAACAAGATGATTTGGCAAGAATTGCATATATGGGGTAAGTGAGAATGAGGAGATGAGGGGAAGAGCCAGGGTTACTGGAAGGATGGTAGTGCCCTGAACGGTACTTGCAAAGAGGAGACTGTTTGGGAGAAAAGATCAGGAGCTCTGTTTTCACATGTTGAATTTATGATGTCTATGTAATATCCACATTGAGATGTCTAAAACATGGCTGATGATGTGGGAATGGAATTCAGGACAGAAAACAGAGCTGGATAAATAGATTTGGGAATCATCTGTATAGAGATGACTGAACCCACCGTAACTGAAGAAATCATCAAGTCAGATACTGTAGAGAGAAAACAGAAGGCCTAGGAGAGAGGTTTGAGGGACACCTACAGTTAGCAGGTATGACACAGTCAGCAAAGCACACTGAAGAGAGGTCAGACATTTAGGAAAATCAAAAAGGAACACTTAAAAACCTGGAGAGAAAGTATCCAGGAGGAGATGAGCAAGGGTCAAGTACTGCAGAAAGGCCAAGGAGGAGGTAGACTGAGAAAAGACATTAGATTTGGCAATTAAGTGATTACTGGTATATTATAATGAAAATAATACATCAACTATGTATGTGTACTTTGTACTTTTTTCAAATCGGTTTCACAGGTATCATTTCATTTGAGTCTTATAACAACTTTATGTCTGAGGTAGGCAAAACAGATATAATCCTAATTCTACTGATGAGAAAACCAAGGCCCAGAAATGGGGAAGGTAGATAGATAGTTGGAATTGCAATCTACATCTCATTTCCTAGTCTATTGCTTTTTCCACAGTCCTGAAACATACAGCTACTTTCCCTTTTCAAACACATTCTGATGCCCCAGGCAAAACAATTCCAATCACACTTAGAAGCTGAAGTAAAGCGTTCCTCATCCTTATAAATAAACACTGGCTTTGGTCCTCTGAAAACAAAAGTACCAAACTAGGGTCCCTATGAGTGCCAGGGACAAGTTAATAGCTATGTGCAAAACTCAAATGCTTCCTATTTTGTGTAGCAAACAGAGCCTTACAATTTCCTAACATTATGTCTGGTCTGAGTTACTCTATTTAAAACCAGCTACTTTTCCCTTTTATAACTCTTTCCTTCTGGTAAACAGTTCTGTACAATCAAATAAGATAAATATATTAAAGCACCTTTAAAATGATAAGACACTACATAAATTAATATTATTATTATTATTATTATTATATTATTCAGCCAACTGCTACAGTCCTGAATATAGTTTTCTGTGCTGCTAGGCTGTGGTTATGCCATTCAGAATAGAGACTCTGAAAGTTTAACAAGAATAGCTGAGTAACTATATAGTATAGCTCATTACTCCTGAAGGGTTTTTGCAAAGGTAGGGGTGGTTGTGGGTGTATGATAACATCCCAGATGACAAAGTTCTTACTCTATTTGTTACTGGGCAAATTAATTTAAGCAATAGATGGAATTTAGACCAGAGGTTTTACACTTCCAATTAGAGGCTAGAAGGATATGATTACAAACATTAACAAGTCAAAAAGGAAAAGGATTTTCTAGATTTATGAAGAAGCTTTCCGTTGATATTTATGAAGTACTGTTTGATAATCTATCTTTAATCCATATGAAGTTTTTCTTCTTACATCCTTATCCCCTAAGCCTCTAGGAAGACTGAGGGATTATGATGACTGATTAGACTTTGTTTCATTGTAAAAGACTGCTGTAACAGTGTTCTTCCATTTCCTTCTCTAATTATGCCTTGTTTGCATTCCCTGCCACTTCCCTCCTGCATCTTCCTGTAGACCTCCTACTCCTTTTTTCCCCTGTGTAAACTAATACTTTTCAGATTAATTCTAATCTCGATGATGGAAAAGGTCTGCCAGAAATTTCAAATTAAAGATGAATTTTAGGAATGCTGCAATTTCACTAGAGTAGATATTTCTGCTGACACAGACGTCACTATAACTTAGAAGATGGACTTTGAGAGCTGTTGCAGCCAAAAAATTTATCACCTTGCCGTCAACTTTGGATGAACCTTTCTGAACTTGGCTAGATTTATTCTTGGACACAAGATATCTAAGCTATTATTAGGTGAATATTGAAAGCTTTTCCGGATTCACAGAACCTTCCAGGGCTTATGCATCTGCTAACCTAGCTGTCAATAACTCAGGGTCACCTCCATAAGAATAAGACTTTGGTAGAAAATTTTAGTAACAAATTTACTTCAATGGTAACAATTCTATATCTAAATCATTTTAGTAATTTAGAAAATACCAGTTGAATTAAAGAGCACTGCAGAGTTCCCTTGATTATCCTGTTGTCGTTTAGTTATTGCAGTTGTGACTGACTCTTCATGACCCCATTTGGAGTTTTCTTGGCAAAGGTACTGGAGTGGTTTGTGATTTCCTTCTCCAGACCATTTTATAGATGAGAACCTGAGGCAAACAGGGTTGAGTGATTTAGCCAGGATCACACAACTAGTAAGTGTCTGAAGCCAGATTTGAACTCAGAAGATAAGTTTTCCTGCCTCCAGGCCCAGTGCTCTAGCCACTGACCCTCCTAGCTGCTCCCCCTTGATTATCTACTTCAACAGTAAAGATCAATAACAAGTGGGACATTTCAAGCAAATTTTTAAATAAATTTATCTACACTGCACTATAAATGCCAGTTTTGTTTACTGTAATATTGAACTTCAGAGAAGAAAAGCTTGCAACCAATCAGGCTGGTTACTGGGAAGGTTACTGAGAAGTCTCCAAGGTTTTTTCAACCATGTTACTCAAAAAAATCCAAAACCTCACCATAAATTTTGTGTCCCCCTTTGACAGAGTATCTGTGATGAAGTGGACTTTCTGTAGTTGTTCTACAACTTGATGCAACAGCTTGGGCTAGAGGATCAAAATTAGTGAAACAAACAAAAGGAAAAGAAAAAGTTAGAAGTTAATGAAGAAGAATTAAAAATCACCTTTCCAAAGACCTACAAAAGAACATCTGGCATTCTTATTTTCTTCATGAAATACTTTTTTCTCCAGTAAAAACTGATGTAAGTAAATGAAATACATTTTTAGAAAAGATAGTTGCTCATTAAAAAAAAAATCATCAAACCAGGAAGTATACATAATTCACTAATATTTTTATCTGAATAAATCATATTAATAAACTAGGTCATGTTTAAAGTACACATTCCCCAAAACAAATTTAATATATTTGCATCTCTTGTGCAGGGCAATGGCATTTTTCACTGAATCACATAATTCAGAGTTGGAAGGGCTCTCAATGCCACAGTCCACTAAAACACCCAGATCTTTCTAAAATTGCCATCTAACCGTGTCTTCTCTATCTTACAAAGTTGATTTCTTGAATTCAAATATAAAACTTTACATTTATCCCTTCAATTCAAACCAATATTCTAGGCTATCAAGATTGTCACGAGCCTATAATTCCTGTGTGGTTAGCTATATCCAGGTTTATGTCATCTGCATTTTCATTAATACCAACTTCGTTTTAACTGAAAAATCCTCCTTTAATGAAAAACTAACTATAATATTTACTACTAAATCCTGACATAGTCAATCAGCAACAGAAATGCTTTACCAAAACTTATCCCTCTCAAAGTTCAATTGCCCTTTTCACAGCTTGTTGGGGGAAAAGATATTTTACCTAATTTCCTTAACCTGTCTTCCTCATCATAGAACTCAGCACAAAAAACTTCTCCTAAATCAGTGTCTTGTCATGAATAAGACCTACTATGACTACTCAAATGCCAACAAACAAAACAAGCATAAGCATTGCTATGAGAAACCGACTAGACTTAACTGATGGATTTAGCTACCTGTTTAGTTGACTCAGAAGTGAAGCTAGGATGGGTAAGGAGAATATCCATATCTCCACTTGACTCTGCACCTGTGAATATAAATACCAATAAATTACATTCTTAATGCAAAGTCATGAAATCAGACTGACATGGAACTTGGCTGATGACATAGGAAGATGCTACTTTTTTGCTTAACTTTCTATTTCACTGTTCTTCACATTCAGAGCAAGTTAAAAAGATCTTAACTGTCTAACTATTTGGGTAAATACTGATGCTGTTTATACAAACAAGTTATTTCAATGTATTAGAAAATGCATCTATGGTTTAAGCTTCAAAACAGAAAACCTTAATTAACTGGAACATTCATGTATTTTGGATAAATTAATGTTAACCAAAAAACCCTTGTTCAAACCTTATGGTTGGAAATTTTTCATAAATACATTGGTACACTTTCCTGTCCTGGTAAGTACAGCATTGTGAACATAAGCTTTTTTGGTGACTGAGGATCTTCATCCTAAACATCAATGAATGATCTTTGTCCAGTACTGTAAACAAGGAACAGATTACATTGAATATGTACTGATTCCAGGACACATCCTAGATGTTGCTTTTTAAAATAATTTCCTCCTATCACTTTGTCTGCCTACCATTTGCCCTGTCTCCCCAAATTACTGAATTTCCTTCACGCCCACCAAATTTAAAACCACTGAGGATTTTGGTCCATGGATGCTTGCTGTAGTTATTTTATTTTAAAGTCCACAACTTCTGGGGGAAAAGATAATGAAGACAGAATTCTTTCCTAACTAATGGCAAGCAAATAAGTCTGTTAAATGGGCACCTGACCATATGTCGAAGGTGGGTGCCTAACTGGAAAGATTAACACTCTTGGTGAATTCACCCACATTTTCTCCCAGTAGTGTGCCATGGGAAGAACGAAGATGAGTTCCTCTCCCTAATTTTAGTATTTCTAGCCCCTTTTCTCAACTGTTGCTTCTAAGTTTTAACTCTAAGAAAAGGAAGCCATAGTATTAATCTTTCTGGTTTCTCCTAATCTAGTATAGGAGAATTGCAATTGCAATTGCCAACAGCACTTCTGACTACCTAATTTTTATTTCTTAGGTAAAAGTGGCTGAAAATGGTCAGGTCAGTTTTATAAGATTATTTTCATAGATTCTGTGAAAGTTATTATAATATCATTCTACAACAAAAACAAGTTAACTGTTCCTTGAATCTAACCAACTTAGATAATAATCACCCAGAAACAAACACACATTTCTTCAAGACAATACTACTGGGTTTTAATGACTTTGTTGGGGTTTACAATCTTAGCCCTTACAGGGAAATCCAATTATTATATGACATTATAGGACTAGGAATCACTCACCTCGTCGGAAACTTCCACAAACTGTAGCAATGTATTTTGAATCAACTTTCTTAATTTCATTCAGTACAATATCCTAAGCAAGAGGGGGGCAAAAAGGTAAATCAAAATCTAAAAATGCTTTGTTTTATTTTAGTCACTTTTCCCTCAAACCATCAGAATACAATAAAATAATCTCTTACTTGCATTTGTAACATTTCTTCCCTAGGAATTCTCTTCTCAAAGTCTTCAAAATATCTACAACCGCAAAAAAAAATAAATCAAAAACAGTGAGCTTCAATTGTCGTTAAAATTAAACACTCCAAGTAAGTGACCTCCCATTAAAAGACTTTTCGGCAACCAAATCTTACATAAAAATAAAGCTTCATTATGAACTAGCTAAGTAATAGCAACTTGTTTCTTAACCTCAACTCCTAAAGATGGAGCCAAAACCTTAAGTGCTATAACAATTCAGAAAACTTTATCTACACTTAGTGATAAGTAAATATTATGTTCTGACTCACTTTCTAAGAAGAGAAATGAATGAATTCAAGTCAGCAAGTTTGTTTACAAATTAAATCACTCTCTGCTGGTAATTCAGAGAGTTACAGCTTCTATTTTCCTGAATCTGCATTTTGTTAAGCCAATTGGCTTCACAAAGGCACCAATTAATTAATATGATCCCTTAGGACAACCAGATTCTTTGTAACATTTCAGATTATTGGATAAAAGCTTGGAAAGTAATGACCTAACAACACTGGTCTCTTCCTGGAAGAAAACCTAGGAAAGGTTAAGTTTAGATAGAAGGATATTCATCTAACTCATAGAAATGTTTAGATAAAGAAATGATAGAATATTCTAAAATCAAGTATTCTATAGTTAGAAAGATTACTGTACAGTATAAAGTATGCTTATCCCAAGAAGGGGAAATTTGAGAAGGCTGATAACACTTTCTAAAAATAGTTCCCACTTTTTAAAGAGAGTATAAACATAAAATTAAGCCTTTCTAAAAGCTAAGAGAACCAAGAAAAATTTAGTCACTAATGCTGACTACAATAACAGTTAATATTATACAGTGATTTAAAGTTTTTGCTTTTTTTACAACAATCTTATGAAGTAGGGAGTATAAAAATTACTTTCCCCTTTTTTACAGATGAAGAAACTAAGGCTCAGATAGGTGAAATGACCTGCCCAGGGTCACAAAATTACTAAGTGTCAGGCAGTTCAGACTCAAATCCACGTCTCCTCACTCAAAAAAGTTAAGTGATTAAGTTTCCTTTCCACTATATCAGTCTGCTTCTCCTACAATGTGATACAGTGGAAATTTAAGTCAAATCACAAAACACTTGTTAAATGCCTGTTATATGCAAGGCACTGCAGAAACAAAGACAAAAATAAAATAATTTCTGCCTTCTAGTAGTTAAACTTTACTGGGGAGTCAGGAGAGCTATATAGACACAAGTAAATTAAAACACTAAGGAAAAGCAGAACATAGACAACTGAGAGCAGGGATAGCTTCACAGAGGGAACACCTCAGATAAAACTTGAATGGAAAATAAGGATTCAGAGTTGATGAATATATTGTGGGAACGAGAAGACTGCTTGAGTAAATACATGAAGACAAGAGGCATGAATACAAGTTCATGGTACAAACAGCTTGTAGTCAGACTTGAGTGGAATATAAAGCAGGTGAAGGAGAGTAATATGAAATAAGTCTGGAAAGGCAGGCTGGCACTAGACTATGAGATGGTCTTACAGTTAGGCTAAGGAGTTTGTATTTTACTCTAGAGAACTGTACCTTAGAAAATTATTTTGGCAAATGTGCAGAGGTCATACTAGAACAAAGGGATCCTGGAAGCAGAATTCAATTACAAGGCTATCAAAAGAGTTCAGATGAGAAGTGATGATATCCTGAACCAGGGTGGTGGCTGTGTAAGTGACAGATAGGAGACAAATATCACAGATGTTGCAGAGGTGGACTTGGAAGGCCTTGGTAACTGCTGGTCACTGATTAGGAAGAAAACTAGAATGCAGTGTGTCAAAATAGCCAACTGAGGAAAAAATGTCTAAGAGAATGGAGCAGTTAAATGTCAAAAGATGCAGAAAGACCAAGGAGAATAAGGACTGAGACAAGGTAGACTGTTAAATGCCTGTTATATGCAACCTGGACTTGGGAGAGAAGAAATTATTGGTAACCTTCCAAGACAACGATGGAAAGAGCACTGAACTTGGAATCTGAGGCCTTTAGGCTTCACGTCCTGGCTCTACTGCTCACTAGTTGTGTGACAAGAAAAGGCCTTTAACCTTGCAAAGCCTCTGGAGATGATGAGACTTGCATTACCAAGACTGCTTTAAGCAACATGATACAAGAAATGTAAAGACCTGTATAAACGTGAGCTATAATTGTTCCACACACTTAACTAATATTTGAGTAACCATAACTTACTTCCTTCCCATACTGCTATTAAATTTTTCACCTTCTGGTCTTGTTACTCAACCATTATGTATGTATTATATATACACATACATCAATACCACACCACACCACATACACAGTACTTTTTAAGATTTGGTATTTGCCCGTGTGGGTGGTTACTCCAGCCACTGAACCAGACTACACATCCTCCACAATTTTATAGATGGCCTTACCCAGAATTACTGTGCCTGAATAATTCATCGTTATGCATTCAGGCTAATGATAAGCCTCTCTAAACTCAGGCTGGTTCTTGGATAAGAAACTTACAATTTTATCAGTGAGACCAAAAGTCCTTTCCTTTCAGTGGCACCTATCACAGAATAGCATTTGAGAACCAAGGTAACATCAATGCCATGATAAGATATCAGAGAAGGATTTTAGTGAAGGAGAATACATATTTATTTGAGAGCATATAAATGTGTATATGTATACACATATACATTATATATATCCTACAATAAAGCCTTTTCCTAATGACTCAACAAGACATGGAAGTGACAGTGGGTTCCTGAAGGTTAACCCTCAATGAATTGTAAGCTTTGGAAGATCCTAACAAGCTGGAAAATCTTCAAGTGTCAATGTAACAAAAAAGATTGTCACTCTAAAACCAGTCTAATTTCAGGGAGATTCATCACCAAAAGGCACAAAGGGGTTATAACTGGTGTGGGTAGAAGAAGTACTTACACTGGTTTAAATATGAGTCTTTTGAAGTATGTAAGTATATGTTTTTGAAATTGGCCTTAAAATTTTAAGTGTCAACAACAAAAAAACTATCTCACCTCAGCCCAATTCGCTGATGATGGTTCAATTTGCGTTCATTTTTCCTAAGATCTATGTCAGAAATAGAAAAAACTCTGAGAAGTAAAATTTAACACTTTCGAAAATTACTTCATTTTAAAATAAGAACTAAACAAAGTATTAGTTCATTGAAATGATCTTTCAAAAGCTTATCCGAAAAGAAATTAAAGATAAAAATACTTTGATGAGATTACAAATCAGACATTTCATAATCATACTACCACAAACTGCTGCTCTTATGGTGGATATGGTTTAACTACATTCAAGTTTTGTAACATAATTTCATGAAATTAGCAAAGTGTGAGGCTAATTCCTCAGGGTATAGTATAGAACAGCACTACACGGTACTTGTACTGGAAATTACTTATCTCCTCGGATAAACAGTTTGAATGGTCAATTCTTCGTCTTGACAGAACAGATACAGGTTCAACATAACATTCTTGAATCTAGTACCACCGGCTCTGAACTACATTTGAACAACAATGTAGCAATATTAATATGTTCAAAAGCTAACTGATAAACCCTTAATCTGATGGATAAAAAGATGCAAGAGAATAATATAATAGAGAAAATTAAGCACCTTCAGACTACCTAAAGCAAATCAATATACCTAACAATCACAGATTCAAGGTAGTCACATAATATAGTTGAGTCTTCATATGAACTGTGGTAAAATTAAAAAAAACAAACAAACAAAACACTTTTGTATGCACAAAAACTACAAAATAATGACTACATGCAGCAGTAAATGAAAAGGATTTCAGGATTTCCAAAAGTAGCTGGAAGGGATGGAGAAAGGAACAGCCACTGCAGTTTTAGTTGGAAAATCCACCCTTCTACACTGGCTTATTGCTTCCTAGCTTCAAACATACTCAGACTCCCCATCTTTAAAAAAAGGAAAGAAAAAGAAACAAACAAACAAACAAATCTTAAGTCTTACTTGTTCCAATCTATCTCTTTTCTTCACTGTGAAATTCCATGAACAGATGGTCTACACCCATTTCCTTATTAATTATCTCCACCTACAACCTTGTGTCCTCATCACTCTACTAAAACTACTCTCTTATGAATCAATCTGGCTAAAACAAAACCTTCTTTTCTACTGTTTCTCACTCTCCTTACCTTCTCAGGAATTTGACACTGTTGACCATATTTCTTTTCAAAATCTCCTCCTCCTTGAGCTCTCCTTCCTTTGAACTGCTCTTTTTCCTTTTCTGGATCCTTATTCAAACATCTAACTATGGGTTCTCTGCTCTTTTCTTTACCCTTCCTTCTTCAGGGAGTCCATTTATTCTGACTTTGCCTATCACCATAAACACACAACTAAGTAACCCTTTAAAGTTTACGAACCACTTTCTTCAGAACAACCCTATAGATAGGGCAAGTAATATTATTCTCATTTTACAGAGGAGGAAATGGAGACTTAAAAAGTTAAGTGATTTGCTTATAGCCACGAGTTACAGAACTAACCCCTGGGTCTTCTGACTCAAAGTCTAGATACTCTTTCTACTACACTGTACTAATTCTCACTTCTATGTTGGTGATTCCCAAAATTACATTTCCCGTCCTGACCTCATTTGTGCACCACATCTAATATTTTAAAATGATCATTAGGACATCTCTATTTGGGTGTCCTCAGCCGCCTCATTTAAAAGGTTTCAAACAAAGTGCATTACCTTTCTCTTTCAAAACTATTCCCCTTTTCAACTTTCTTATTTCTGTCAGGGAGTTGTACTCTTCTATTCACTTAAGTCAAATACCCTGGAGTCACCTTTGACTCTTTCCTTCCCTGGGAAACTATATTCTATCTGTCACTAAGCCATGTCATTCCTTTCATTAAAATGCTTCTTGGAATAGTTTTTTCCTCTCCCTATTAGTTCTTTCTTTAAAAATTTTTTTTTAAAAAATTCACAACATTTATTTTCTTCCCCAACAAAAAGAAAAAGAAATACCAAATTCTTATAACATATATAACTAGAACAAAATAAATTCCCGCATTGACGGTGTCCAAAAATATCTGTATCATCTTGCATATTGAATCCATTCACCGTTTTATGAGAAAGTGGGTAGCATACTTCCCCATCAGTCCACTGGATTTGTGGTTGGTTATAGCACTGATCAGTGCTTACGTCTTTCAGAGTTGTTTGTCCCTACGATGTTGTGATTTTAGAGACTGTTCTCCCAGTTCTGCTTACTTCACTCTTCATCAGTTCATACAAATGCTCTCAGGTTTATCTGAACCCTTCTCTTTCATAATTTCTTATTGCACAATAGTATTCCAATACATTCATAGACTATAATTTGTTCAGCTATTAGCCAACTGATGGATATCCCTTTAGTTCCCAGTTACTTGCCACTACAAAAAGCTACTATAAATATTTCTGTGTAACAGGGTGCTTTTCCTATTTTTGGATCGCTTTAAGGTACAGCCCTAGAGTAGTACTGCTGGATCAAGATGTATGTACAGTTTAATGACTCTGGGGGTACAGTTCCAAATTGTTTTCCAAATAGCTGAAGTAATTCACGGTTTTATTAACAATGCATTAATGTGCTCATTTTCTATTTGTCAATTATTTGTCATTATCGGTTTTTTTTTTGGTCATCTTTGCCAGTCCAATCAAGGTGAGGGAGAACCTCTGGATTTGCTTTACTTTGCATTTCTAATTATTCTTTTGGCCAGTGATAGCTTGCATTTCTTCTTTTGAAAACTGCCTATTACGTCCTTGAAATAGAATGCTATATAGTTATTACGTCCTCATAAACTAGAATCTCCCTTGCCCAAGCTTCTCTCACTTTTCTCTAGATTATTATGACAGCCTCAAACATATTTCTCTGTCTTCTAGTCTTTCCCCTCTCCAAAACACCCAACATATCTCTGGTCAGATTAACATTCCTAAAATATCCCTTTTATCATGCTACTTTGCTGCTCTAGAATCTATGACGTTCAGTCATATCCAACTCTCTGTGATTACAATTTCCTTTGGGGTTTTCTTGACAAAAATATTGGAATTATTTGCTATTTCCTTCTCCAGTGGATTAAGACAAAGACAAGTTAAGTGACTTACTCAGGGTCACATAGCTGAGGCTGGATTTGAACTCAGGTCTTCTTGAATCTAGCACTCTGTCTACTGAAACACCTTGCTGCCTCCAAGGCAAACAGAGAGATTAAGTGACTTGCCCAGGGTCATCCAACTAGTAAATGTTGGAGGCCATTTTTTAACTTGGGTCCTCCTAACTGCAGGCCCAGCATTATATCCACTGAGTTATCTACCTGCCTTTCTAAAACCTATAACGGGTTCTAAATCATTAAATCCCAACCTGGTATTCAAGGTTCTCAGTAATCTGGCCTTACCCTCTCTAACCTTAATTCATAAAATTCCCCAATACAAACTGTAGTCTTACCTTCATACTTTTGTTCATAGTGTTCCCATATTAAAACACCCTCCCTACACTTCTATATACCTAAATTCTGTTTTGTTTTGTTTTTTAAATACTTACCCCCTTTTCCTGGAAAACTCCAGCTCATAAGCATTGCTCTCCTCTTCTAAATGTCTATAGCACTGAATTTCTATAATCAGTTCTACACAGTTTAACTATTAACTACAATATTGTTTTCTAAATGTTTCATGTGTTTGAATCTTGATTCTTCAGTAAGATACTTTTAAGGGTTTTAATAATTTCTCATACCTGTCTTCTCTTTTATATACCCTAGAGGCATACATATAGCAGGCACTCAATCAGTATCTGAATAGTTAAATGAAAACATGGACATAAACAGTTGTTACGTTCCAAATCAATGAGTTGAAAGGCGTTGTGGAATATAATCGTGTGTTCTTGTCCAAGGTAAATCATAGCCTTGAAAAGTATGAAAAGATGCACATTACGTTTAGTAGGTATCTACATGAGATTTTTAAAAAGCTTTACAATTACTTGATTTAGGCTCTGGCTTCTAAGTACATTCTTCTACTATAAACAAACCTAGGACTGTTCCTAGGAAGCAGCAATTTCTCCAGTAACTATACCTTTTATAGAGCCTTTCTCCACATACAAACTTTAATTCTATAATAACCTGTAAAGGTCTAGCAATCCGTAAATATTATACAATGAAAAAAGGCAACTTACAACCTTAGAAACTAGTACAAAAATACTATAAATTATCCCATTTCCTTTATTAAAGGAAAAAGAAGCAATTTTTTCCAATCTTAAACTTAGGAAATATGTAAACAGAAATTATATTGGCTAGTAAGTTTTATTGCCAAATTAGTTTCTTTCCTGTGAGTTATAAGCTTACATATATCTAAATACATATGAATACTATATCTCAGATCTTGGTAGTAGAGCTACAGCCATAATTTATCGTTTGTGCAACACAAGTGATAGGTTTTTTGGGTTCCATATAATACTAATGACCCTTCCTAAGACTAAATTTAGTTTACTACTATGATCAAGACAATGAGCCAAGACAATTCCAGAGCACACATGATGAAAAATCTTATCTATCTCTAGAGAGAACTTATGAACTCTGAATGCAGGTTAAAGCATACTTTTTTAAACTTTGTTTTCATTGTTTTATTTTGTGTTTTCTTTTGCAACATGGCTAATATGAAAATGTTTTACATGACCTCACATGTATAACTGATATCAAAATGTATGTCTTCTCAAGGAGGAGGGTGGGGAAAGGGAGGGGGAGTATTTGGAACCAAAAATTTTTTTAAATGATTGTTAAAATTTTTTACGTGTAATTGGGAAACATTTAATGAAATAAAAATAATTTTTAAAAATTTAGCTTACAAATGATGACTAATAATTTACACTCACCTTCCAATGTTTTAATTCCTTCATCTACAAGCTTCCTTGCAGCAGATGGACTGCAAAGAAAGAAAATCATCAACTACACATGAAAAGCGAAAACTTTATGTCCTTGAAATAGAATGCTATATATAGTTATTATGTCTTCATAAACAACTGAACCTAGAAGTTGCTATTTAAGCTAAAGAGTGCTACTACGATAATTTATCATTTACTCTACTAACTTCGATCATTAAGTAACACCGTCATGAATCCGAAATTGAAAAAGGCATATGTTAGACCAGTTATCACAAAGTCTATGCTCCTTACTCCACAGGATAATTACGGAGGCACTAGCTGGCCCCTATCCTGTATTAGAAGAACAGAGCATAAACTGCTCACCTAAAGAAGTGCCAGCTCATAGCAAGAGGAAGAAATTCAGCTCAATTCAACAAACATTTATTAAGCATCTTCTATGTGCAAGGCAAGGCACATACCAGAAGTTGGGGGACAGGAAAGTGTAATAGTCCCTGCCCTCATGGAGCTTACATTTCCCTGGGGGAGGGGGACTTACAATGTGTATGCAAGTAAATATAATACAAAGTAAGGAGTGAAGGGGCAAAGCAGAGATGGAAATTTTAAAGGGAAATTCGGGGAAGGAGAGCTCACTAAAATGTCAGAGGGTTGGAAGAGGAAGATGATCAGGGAAGGCTTAAAGGAAGAAGTGGCATCCAAGTGAAGCTTTGAAGGAATATAAGGACTTTAAAAGGCACAGATAAATAGGGAGTATATTTGAGACATACAGAACACTGGTGTGAATAAAGGCAGAAGACAGAATGCTGAATTCAGGGAATAGCTAGCAGTCCAGTTTAGTTGGAAGAGAAAGTAAAGAGAAATAATGGGAAATAATAAAGTAGACACAAATATCATAAATGGTCTCGGGTCATTTACTGGGGAGGAAAAAAGCGTTTTATACCTTGCAGTCCTTAAGGGCACCATGACTGTATTTTACAATAACTCAAATTCACAATGGCAAGGCAGTGGTAACATAAAAAGCACTAAAATGGATTCTAGTCCCAGCTCACTAGTTATGTGACCTTGTGCATATCACTGTATCTCTATGAACTTCATTTTCCTCATCTATAAATTGATAGGACTGAACTAGTTCAGTTCTTAACATCTTTCCCCCCATCATGGAATCCTTTGGCAACCTGGTGAAGCCTGTAGACCTCTTCTCAGAAAAGAGTTTTTAAATGCATAAAATAGGAAACCAAATGATAAATGAGAAAACAAAGGGAACCAACAATATTGGAATACAGTTATCAACACACTAAAAAAAAAAAAACAACAAGTTCACAGATTCCAAATTAAGAAAGGACTAGATGGTCATAGAAACATAGATTTAGATCTGAAAGGGAATGTAGAAGTCATCCAGTTTCATTATAAATTCAATTAAAAGATGAGGAAACTGAGGATCAAAGAAGTTAAGTGACTTTCCTAAGGTCACACAAGTAGTAAAAAAGCAAAGCTGGATTGGAACCCAGGCCTCAAATATCTTCCATCCAGTGTTCTTTCCAATCTCCTATAGTGCCACTTCCTAGAACATGATGTAGCTGTAAGTAGAGTGTAGTCATTAAGACAAGGTTAACATAATCTGTGCACATACACCCAATATGCACTGTTCAAGACAGGTGAGCACATATTTTAGTAAGATGTTTATTAAAAAGAGTTAAAAGTTTTGTCTTTTGAAATCTGGAAGAATATTTCATTCTGTAAAGATAAAATGGGCATTCCTATATTAATATTTCATTGCTATATTTTATTTTGCTCAGTGCCAAAAGGCCTACTTTGATACAAAATTAAAAGGTTATGTATACTAAATAAACAAAACAAACTAGCAGAGTATAATTTTAAATGCATTTCTTACCCAATACCACTAACTCGTGTCAGCAAATTGATGGATGAACTTGTATCATCCTCCCTAATCTTGAAAAAAGAAAAAAAAAAAGGCACATGTGAATCTGGGTTGCCTTTAAAACTAATATGATTTCATTTAAGTCATCAGTCAGTCAACAGATGTGCATAGCCATTTCAGGTGACATTTTCTGATCTGCAGAGAGAAAATATTCAAGTATAATGGATAATATAAGGAATTTTCTAAACTGGCAGAGCCAGTTATAGAACCTCCTGAAGATTTCCTATCTCCAGTTTATCCAATTCTACACAAAGAATCAGAAGAGACAAAGCTACTGATTTGTATAAGACTTCTGAAACAAAGTTGCAAAGCTATTTGAGGTAAATTCTTCACTTAGCTAGTTCTTATATTCTCTCCTCTGGAATAACAATGAGAATATGGAACTCATCAGATCATAGCAGCTGAAGCCATCTCTCAAAACAATGAGTAAAAAGTGAATGTTTTATTAGAATGATAAACATTTTAAAAATATAATGTTCTTAATGGATTTCATTATCAGTAATATCTCTTTTCTTTAGTAATCTTATTAATATTTTTAGGAGACATTACTAATTCTGAATACATCATAAAAGTATAAAAAATTATAAGAAAATCAAATAAGGATTTACCTTTTCCAGTTTACGTAATTTTCCAGTAGTTAAAAACTCATCAATCTTCTCAGCAATTTTTGTTCCTACTCCATCCTAAATTGGAAATAAAGATTAATCAATGAGCATTTACTAAGCACTTACTACATGCTAAGTAGGGTACACACAAATAAAATATGAAACCTTTGGAGTCTACTACATTAACTAAAAGTAAATAAAAAGCAAAAAAGAAAATAAGTGACCATCACCTAGAAAATCTTCAAATAAGGGATAGGTAAAAACACTGCTCCAATTAAAAGTATCTCCTCTGAGGGGTAGAAGATTTAAATATGCATCAAAACACACAATTATTGAAAATGGAGTAAACAGATCTTAATTAAATATTAAATCAATTTCTCAAGCTCACTGGAGGTAAGTCTAAGTTACTATAAAAAAAAAATTAAAGGCTGAAAGTAAAAAAGTGAGTAATAGGAAAAAAGTTCAAGACCTTTGAGTTTCTGTAGCGGGATACAGATTTTTTCCCCTCTTAAAACTAAAAATACACTTCTCTCATGTTTGACAAGAGCCTTTCCATAGTGAATAAGCAGAAGGACAGGAGCAGTCAATTTTCAAAAGAAATACAAAGTGTCAACACACAAAAAAATGCCCCAAATTACTAAGAGCAAAAAGAAGGCAAATTTTTAAAATTCTGAGGTTTTGCCTTTCAGTTATTCCACTGGCAAAGGTAACAAAGATGAAAATTGTGAATTTTGAAGGCTTTAAGGAAACAGGCACACCAATGCGCTTCTGGAGCTGTGAACTGGTCCACCATTCTGGGAAATAATTTGGAACTAAAATGTATACACTCTCTGACCCAGGGAAACTATACGAATTAAACCACAAGAAGGTCAAAGACAGAGAAAAAAGTTCCATTGATATATAGTATTTTCTACAGAGTATCAAATTACTGGAAACAAAGAGGGAAATAGTTGAACAAATGTGTTATAAAAATTAAACATAGTATCACTGTGCTTTAAGAGAAGACAAATGTGAGGAATTCAGAGGAACTAGGGAAGATTTGTATAAACTGATGTAGAGTGAAGCAATGCACTGAAGGACATCAGAGGATCAGATGATGAAACATACTTCCCTCTTCTTGGCAAAGAGGAGGTGGACTACAGGTGCAAAGTGAGGCATATCTTGTTAGGCATGCCAAGGTAGTCAAAGGATTATCAAATTAGAGACCACCTCGTCCAATCCCCTCAGTTTAATGATGAGGAAACTAAGACCTACAGAGGTTAAGTGACTTGTTCGAGATAGTAAGAGGAAAAGCCAGGTTTCTGAGGTCCTCTGACACCAAATTCTGTATCCCTTTCACTGTGCCATGCTGCCTCTTCTAACTGATGAAAAGAATATTGGTGACAACCTATTTTTATACTTAGAAGCTTTAAATCTTCACTAAAGAGAGAATAAGATGGTTTGCTTTGCTTAATTCTACTTTGTGAGGAGTTAAGTATTCTACGGGGGGATGGGGTCATTGGGAAGTTATTGATGAGAAAAGAGCACGAATAAAACATTAAATAGAGCAATGTTCAAGGAAGGGGAAAATGTTTCCCATTCTAACATTAAAAGTTATGAAGGAAAATTAGTCATGCTTTAAAAACCCAATTTTTCTAAACATGCAGGTGCTGTCAAATATACGTATCACATAATAGTAAACAGCTCATAGACTCTCAAAACAATAATGAAAAGGGAAACTGGTTTGCAGTTGAGATTTGATGTTCAGATTGTGGATCAACAGGGATGTGGAAGTAGTGGGAGCAGTTGTGATAAGTTTAGCTGACATCTACATAACAGTTTAAGGTTTGAAAAATGCTTTGCATCACAATCTCATTTGAGTCTCATAACAACTATGTAATATAAGCACTACAAATATTATTATTTTCATTTTTGAGATGAGGACAAAGACTCAGAAAGTGAAGTACCTTTGCTCATGGTGGCATAGCTGGTAAATGTCAGAAATAGAACTTGAAACAGTCTTTTTGACTTGATGCCTAGTATTCTATGAACTATGCTAGGGTAACACGATTTTTGTATGACCTAAGAGCTAAGAATATTTTTACATTAAAAAAAATTACTGAATTTTAAAATGTTCAAACCATTCTTAGCTCTTGGGCCACACAAAAAAAGGTGCCTGCTAGGTTACTAAGTCCTGTACTGTATTATTATCTATTCCATAGGAGATTTTTTGAAAACCTGTTAGCACTTTGTTTTTGTTTTTATATCATTTTTTTCATTTTATTAATTTATTTTTAGTTTTCAGCATTCACTTCCATAAGTTTTTGAGTTTCAAATTTTCTTTCCCTCCTTCCCCAAGACAGCACGCAATCTACTATAGGCTACAGATATACATTCCTATTAAACATATTTTCACATTAGTTATGTTGAAAAGAAGAATTAGAACCATTAGGAGGAACCACAAGAAAGAAGAAACAAAACAGAAGAAAAAGAAAAAAAAAGAGTAAATAGTATGCTTTGATCTGCATTCAAACTCCATAGCTCTTTCTCTGGATGTGGATAGTATTTCCCATCATGAGACTTTTAGAAATGTCTTAGATCCCTGCATTGCTGAGAAGGGCTAAGTCTATCAAGGTCAATCATTGAACAATGTGGCTGTTATTGTGTACAACGTTCTCCTGGTTCTGCTCACTTCACTTAGCATCAGTCAATACAAGTCTTTCCAGGTTTTTCTGAAGTCACTTGCTCATCATTTCTTATAGCACAATAGTATTCCATTACATTCATATACCACTTGTTCAATTCCCCAATTGATGGGCATCCTCTCAGTTTCCAACTCTTTGCCACCACAGAAAGAGCTCCTATAAATATTTTCGTACATGTGGGTCCTTTTCCCATTTTTATGATTTCTTTGGGATACAGCCCGAGAAGTGCTACTGCTGGGTCAAAGGGCATGCACATTTTTATAGCCTTTTGGGCAGAGTTCCAAATTTGTTAGCACTTTTAATTTTAAAAAAACAAAAAAGACCTTTAAAATTAATCTTTGGGTTTTAGCTGTTTCAGCAGGCTAGATGATATATTAGAGTCATTCCAAGAAAAGGGAGTCTCTGGACAGGATGCAAATTCTTTATTTTAATTGGTTATACATCTTACCAGCTTCTTTGCTTCCGCTCCACTTTTTATTTTGCTTGGGTACTTGGCTATCACAGAGGCTGCTTTTCTTTACAAAATAAATAAATAAATAAATAAATAAATAAATAAAAACCAAATCCAACAAAGTCAGATTTTAAGCTTTTCTATTACGGAACTAAGATACACTCAAACATCCACCCCTCAATTTCTACCAAAATAACATCATTTCTTCCTCAAAACACAACTTTTATGCTTCTCATATGTGATGCACCAACCCATTTATTGAACCTCCACTGCTCTATCTGTGTAAATACTGTGTCCACCTTCATGTTTTGGTCATAAAGACTAACATAACACTAGCAGTGCTTTTAAAAATGTATTCTAAGCTTAGGTACTATTAATGAAAATATTCACAAACAAAAATAAAAACATGAAACAAAAAGGTCATTTTCAATTTTTTAAAAAGTATGTATATTAATTTTAATAAGACAGTACAAAAGTTTGGTTTGCTTTTCTGTTCACTTTTAAGCTCTATGTATAGTTTTATTTTGCCTCTTTTTAAAACCTAATTGGAGACAATCTATGTATTATTATGTATTAATTCATATAAATTGCTCCTTTATTTCTTTGTCATTTCCTTTTTTCTTTTTTGGCCAGAACCTGTGATTTCATTGGTGTAGGGTACTCCCATGAAGAAACTCCCTCCACCAAAACATATCAACAACTGTTTGGAAATGAACTCAGTGGACTGTCTCATCATTGGAAGATTAAATGACTTGCAGGGTCTCATAGTATATGCCAGAGGCACATACTTCTGAATCCAGGTTTTCCTCCCTCTAAAGACACCTCTCTAGCCATTAATTCCCTGTCACTTCTTACAGTAAACTAATATTCCATTACTTTTACAGACCAAAATTTGTTTAACCATTCCTCAACTTTTGGGCACAGGGGTGTTTTTCAAGTGTTTTTTCAGCAACAGTCTCTTTTCACCATGCATAGGCCAAGACTGTCATAAGCTATTAACTTCACACTATATCTTTTCTATCTTTCTCATTCTTACAGCCACCAACTTTGTTCAAGCCCTTGTCATATTTTTGTCTAGGCTAACACAATGCTTGGTTGCCCCAACTAGTCTCCCTCCCCACTCCATTCCTATATACAGTTGTCAGTGTAATCTTCCTAACACACAGATCAGATCATATTATGTCATAGCTCAAAACTCTGAGGGCTTTCCACTGTTGGGTTTTATAAGATATGCTCTAAGATGCCTCTCAGTATTAAATCGAGGATTCTATCCATATTAAATAAATTCTTACCCTGGTATTACAAGCCCTCAACTATCTGGCACTAACCTACCATTTCAGCCTTACCCCACACTCTTTCTCATTACAGATATAATATTCCAGTCAAACTTACTGTCATCTAAAAAAAAAAAAATCCCAGGTTTCCCTACCCTGGAGTCTTTGTATGCATTGTTCATTATACCTGGTCGTTCCCTTCTGTTGATAACCTACTCATCTTTCTAGGATCAGATCAATTGTCACCTCCTCCAAGAAGCCTCCCCTCATTCCCTAACCCTAACCTAAGATGGAAGTAGTTTCTTATCTACTCTTATAATATTTTATCTGCCCATAGTCTATATTGTATGTACAGGGGAAGTTCATGTTGGAGATACACAAGTTTGAGGGTGTTAAATAATCCATGGGCTCCAATGGATCTAAATGTCAAGAGATCTAAAGAAAGCACATTGGGTTGTCCTTCTGTGGAAGACTTGCAGAACATGTACAAGAATTAAGGTACTTGCTATCTGCACTTCTGATGGGAGTATTCATACATCAATGTGATCAAAAATCTACTACATCAAGTTTGTATTATCTATCTTTGTACATGAATTCCTATCCTAACTAGATGGTAAGCTTTTAAGGGCCAGGAAAGATACTGTATCTTTTTTTTTTCTTTCCCAGGTCCTAGATAATATACTATTGCATATTATAAGTACTTAATATGTATTTAATGAATTGTTTGTGAAATAGCCAATCAATAGGACTTTCTTTACAGGTCTACCTTTTCAACTGAAATGTATCCCCCACATTTTGACCACTCCATGGCAAGCTAATCTATTAACTGTTACTTCCTCAATATTTTAACAACTATTTATCATTTATTTTGAACTTATGCTTCAAAACATTCTTATGATGTTTCTTCACTTTGCCTTACTTGTTTGCCTCATTTTAGTTCATCTCAAAGTAGTCACTTGTGGTTCCTTGCTGCCACCCATCCTCTATACTTGGGTCAGCAAACTATGTGGGCCCAAGCTAAGAATGGTTTTTACATTTTAAAATAAAGTTTTATTGTATTTTAAAATGTAAAAACTATTTTTAGCTAGCTGTCCAGGCAATTTCAGCTGTAAAGTTGTGGTTTCTAATCTGTGTAGGTCATGAACACTGGGGGACTTTGGAATTTTTACAGGGAGTTCAAGATACCATAAATAAGCAAATATATCTTCTGCAAATTGAACATTAATAAGTATTAAAAGTAGAGATTTCAAATTTTTTATTATATTTAGGCATTATTGTGATTAATAAAATATAAATTAATTTAAAAGTATTACTGAATTTATAGCAGTGTTTTGTTACTATGTATTTTCTCAATCAATGGATATACCAGTAGTATATCTACTATCATGAAGTCCTGTGAAATTTGATAATAAAAAGGGGTCTTTATACTCCACAATTTGAGAACTGTTCTATATTCATCCAGTTCAGTGAACATACTGGATGGCAGATGAGGAACACTGTAGAATCTCACTGCTGGCAATCTAATCTTGTCATTTAATAGGAACTCTGCATTGTAAGTGAAGATGACAAAATTGCTCAAAAACTTATACACATAGTCAACAGTAAGTCTCTCAGTGCTTTTAATAGAGCCTTACTTTGTTATTCTGCCATACCAAAAAACAAACAAAAAAAAACTGAACTTCTTGATTTGTATTTTAATTTCTCTAACAGGCTATCACCAATAATATTCTGCTATGTGCAGAATTTCAGTGACATTTTTTCATTCTGTATTGCTAATGAAAAGTTTTGGCTATATATGTGATTTTAGTGATAGAAGCTGTAGTATACAATACTGTTTTGACTTGTAATATCAATACTACCCTTAGATATATAATTAAAGCATAAATAAGTTAGGTGGCACAGTGGAGAGTGCTGGGCCCAGAGTCAGAAGACTCATCTTCCTGAGTTCAAATCTGGCCTCAGATACTTACTAACTACGTGACCCTGGGCAAGTCACTTAACCCTGTTTGCCTCAGTTCCTCATCTGTAAAATGACCTGCAGAAGGAAACGGCAAACCACTCCAGTATCTTTGCCAAGAAATGGAATCACAAAGAATTGGATATGACTGAAATGACTAAACAAGAAGAAGCTCTAGGAGTAATTTTTGAAAAGCTTAAGTGATTCTTATGTAGTTCTGAATTTCCCACATCATCTGAAAACAGTCTGATGTCAGCTTCTGAGTCCGTGCTGTATCCTTCAATATCATTATATCAGTTATCTTAGAACTGGCTGACTACAGCTGTGTTGGGCACATAGGCATTCAAACTGAGTAAGTACTTGTAAAGTGCTCCATTAGTAATGGGGAATGAGTCTGACAGAATGCCATCACTTGACATGACTGGTCATACTTTCACAAAAGTCAATTTCTCACTGATGCCACAGCACTGGACAAGTCAGTGAAAATTGCAAACACTTAAAAGAAGTAGACTAAAAGAATTTGAGAACTAGAAGCTTTTGATCTTGTTTTCATCACTACTTACATCTTTACTATCCAAGATCACATCTCCTGCAATGAATTATGGACTAAAAAACACACTGATAGCTAATCCTAAAAGGCTCTGGCCAAGTTTTATCCAGGAATAGTTAAAGAGGAATAATTTGACCACAACAGACTCAGCTCCCTTGAAGACAGTCCAATAATGTTCAACTCTGCTCACTTAAATTACTACTAATTTACATGACAAATTGTTCTAGTTCATTCTGTGAGACCAAGTGTAACCAGAAACCACAGTACCCTCTTACCTGTAAGCACTGTACTTATGGATTGCTCGGTTCACATTCCTCTCATAATTTGCAAGCTCTGGAAAAGCAGCAAGAAGCATATGGTGAGCTAGACTATCTAATAGGCATATTTGTGGTAACTGGACTTCCTGCAAGGAGACTGGGCAAAAATACCCCTACTGACTCACATCCACTGTTGTTTGTGACAGGGAGAACCAGGCCAAGAAGATGGCCTTGGTAAGGAGGGCATCAGTCAAATAACCTTTGAACTGCAAATAATAATAAATAACATTTCTATAGTGCTTTTATATTTGCAAGGCATTTGCCCCACCACATCGAGGTAGACAAGTATCATCCCAATGTTATACAGGTTAAGGAAGTTGAAGCTAGATGACACAGTGGGTACAGTGCTGGACCTGGAGTCAGGAATATCTGAGTTCAAATCCAACCTCAGACACTTACTAGCTGTGATCCTGGTCAAGTCATTAAACCTCTGCTTCATTTTCCCCATCCTTAAAATAGGGGCAATAAATAGCTCCTACTTCCCAAGTTTGTTGTGAGAATAAAATTAGATAATATTTGTAAAGGGCTTTGCAAATCTTAAAGAGCCATACGAATGCTATTATTAAAACGACTTGTCCATGAGTTACACGGGAGGTGTCTGAACCAGGATTTGAACTCAGGTCTCCTGACTCCAAAGCCCCAGTCCGAATTTCTAAAAGCACTTTACAAGTCAACAAGGCACTTTCTTCACAGCAATCCTGCCGAGGTCAGCAGCGCCTGTTATCACCATCCTGTCTGACAGGTGAGCCAACCGGGATCAGGTAGCGGCAGGTAGAGCACCTTGCCCTGCCCTCCTCTTGAGTGACCCCCATCCAGGCCACTGCCCCCTCAACGCCCAGCTCCCCCCCAACAAATAAAATGAGGTTTATTAACACCATTATGTGAATGACGATAACAAAGCAATTGGTTTTTCGGGAAAACCTATCGGGGTCTGCGTGGCCTTTGCGGGGGCCCCGGGGGGGGAGAGGAGGGTGTAGGTTGTGTCTGGGGGGGGCGCGGAGGGGGAGGGGGCGTCCTCTGACCCGTCAGGAAGTCGGTGATGCCTGCGTTGAGAGTCTCCTGCGGCGCCTTCCGTTTGCTCATGGCGGAATGGACTGGAGCCCCAGCTCGGGGCCTCCCCCACCTCAGTCTTCGGAGGCCCTCGCTAGGGGTGAGGGAGGGCTGCCCCCCGACAAGGAGCCGCGCATGGGCTCCGACCAGCGCCGAAGTCAGAAGCAGTAACAATGGCGACCCCGGCACTCTGACAGCGGAGACGAGCCCTGCGCCTGCGCATGCGCTCCGTCAGCACGTTGGACGTGGACCCCTTCGGAGGAGGAGCCACCGAAAAGGTCCCACCCCCTCCCTAATTTTTTTTTTTAAAGGGGGAGAAGGGAGAAAAAGAGAAAGACGCGTGAGATGTTTGCGCCTGCGCAGTGAGTGTCTTTAAGGCTCTGGGAGGAGGGGAGGATTAAGGAGGTTGGAAGAAGAGGAGAAGGAGCCGAGAGAAGCCAGGAGAGGGCTCTCGGCGACTTGGAATTCCTTCCTGGAGGAGGGGGCGGGGCGAGAGCAGGTCCCGCCCCACAGGCCTCTTCTGCGTTTCGCAGAATTCACATAAATTCTCCCGAGTGTTGTTCCTTAGAACCTTGGTCTTGGATTAAAAATCATAAATCGTTTGAGTGTAGTTTAGAAATACCCAGGAAGGGGGCCGGTAGGTGGCGCAGTGGATAAAAGCACCGGCCCTGGAGTCAGGAGGACCTGAGTTCAAATGCGACCTCAGACACATAAACACTCACTAGCAGTGTGACTCTGGGCAAGTCACTTAATGCCAATTGCCTCACCAAAAAAGAAGGAAAGAAAGAAAGAAAAATACCTAGAAGACTGAACTCAGCTTTGCCATTCCCCTCCCAACTTCCCTAGTTCTGTTAAGAATTAGCTCCTTGTCACCCAGGTTCAAAACCTTGGAGTCAGCCTTGACTCTTTATCCAATCAGTTGCTAAGTGTTGTATAAGTCTATGTACCCAGCATCTCTCACATGCATCACCTCTATTCTTAGGGACATGCCCCTAATTAAGATAGTATTCTGCTAATATAATAGCCCTTGTAATCTCTATTTCTGCTGCTAGTATCCCCCCCTTGCCAATTTGTCATAGATAGCACAATAATTTTCCAAAAGCACAGGTCTAAATATGCCAAACTCCCAAAATACACACACACACATGTACACATACATACACACATATACATATGTGTGTAGATATGCATATATATACATACACACACAGATATATATATGTTTTTAAATTTGTCAATTAGTCCTATTCCAACTCTTCATGACCCTATTTGGAGTTTTCTTAGCAAAGATACTGAAATGCTTTGCCATTTCCTTCTCCAGCTCATTTTACAGATGAGGAAACAGGCAAACAGGCTTATGTGACTTGCCCAGGGTCACACAGTTAGTGTCTGAGGTGAGATTTGAGCTCAGGTCTTCCTAACTCCAGGCCAGGCACTCTATCCACTGTGCCACCTAGCTGACATCCCAAATATCTAGGGACTCCCTATTACTCCTTAAAGGACAACTAGGTGTGCAAAGGATAGAATGCCAGGTTTGGAGTCAGGAAGACTCAACTTCCCGAGTTCAAATCTGACCTCAGACAATAACTGTGTGACCCTGGGCAAGTCACATAACCCCATTTGCCTGAATTTCCTCATCTGTAAGATGAGCTAGAGAAGGAAATGGCAAACCACTCTAGTAAATTTACCAAGAAAACCCTAAATGGGGTCATAAAGAGTTGGACACAACTGAATAACCACAGCAAGATGTGTATGTGTGTGTGTGTGGTGTGTGAGGAAAACATAGTTTTTTTTTAACTTATCCACCAGAGTGGAAATAAAAGTTTGCATAAGACCCAATATTTGTTACTTTAACTACTGCATCACAATTAAAATCTAAACATATATATTTTTACAATCACAACCCACTGCTACAAAATCAATAACTTCTTTGAAGCCACAGTAACATTTAACTACTGCTAAGACGAAATGTACTTGGCTGGAGAGCTCAGTAAGCTTCCAAATGAATGAAAATTGAATTACAAAAATGTTAAATTTGTGTATTTCACACAGATATATTCCACTGAAAATTACTGACACTGGATGGTTGTTGAGAGTCCTAAGATAACATGGAATCCAGGCATCCTTTAAATAGTCATTTGTTGTCCTTTCTAATTAGAGATTTATGTGTATGTGCCATGTACCACCAAGAAAAAAGTATATTCCTTTCTATCCCCATTCAATTTTCTCCAGAGATCTATCATACCTAACTTTTCTAATATTCTATTCACCTCTTTAACTTCTTTCTTGTTTATTTTGTGGTTAGATTTATCTAGTTCAGAGAGGGGGAGGTTGAGGTTCCCCACTAGTTTAGTTTTGCTGTCTATTTCTTCCTGTAACTCCTTAAACTTCTCCTCTAAGAATCTGGATATTATACCATTTGGTGCATATATGTTTAGTAATGATATTACTTCATTGTCTATGATGCCTTTTTAGCAGGATATAGTTTCCTTCCTTATCTCTTTTGATAAGATCTATTTTTGCTTTTGCTTTGTCTGAGATCAGTATTGCTACCCCTGCTTTTTTTACTTCAGCTGAAGCATAATATATTCTGCTCCAGCCTTTTACCTTTACCCTGTGTGTGTCCCTCTGTTTCAAATGTGTTTCCTGTAAACAACATATTGTAGGATTTTGGTTTTTAATCCATTCTACTATCTACTTCTGTATCTGCTTCTGTTTTATGGGAGAGTTCATGCCATTCACATTCACATTTATGATGACTATCTTTGTCTTTCTCTCCATTCTATCTGCCCCCCCCTCCGTTTATGCTTTTCTTTCTCCTTTCTCCTTTTCCTTCCTCACTAGTGTTTTGCTTTTGACCACCGCCTCCCTCAGTCCCGCCTCCCTTCTAGTAGCCTCCTCCCTTTTCTTCCCCTTTACTCTTACTACTTTTTCCCTCCCTTCTATCTTTTCTCCCTTTTCTTTCCCCCTTTCCCTCCTACAGCTTACAGGGCAAGTTAGATTTCTATACTTAACTGATTATGTTATTCCCTCCTCCAGCCAAATCTGATGAGAGTAAGGTTCAAACAATGCTCATCCTTCTCCCTTCTTTACCTCTGCTCTAATAGGTTTTTGTGTCTTTTCCTGTGATGTAATTTAGCCTTTTCTGCCTCCTCCTTTCCTTTTCTCTCAGTACATTTTCTTAGTTAGATCAGATTGATCCACTTACTTGGATCCATTTAACCCACTGGATTAGATTTTTTTTGATCATTACATCAAAGTCAATTTATACCCACCCCCTTTATGTATACCCCTTTAAAATGGTGTAATAACAATATAGTTCTCAAGGGTTACAAGTGTCATCTGCCCTTGTAGGGATGTAAACAGTTTGCCCTTATTAATAACAAGTTTCTTTCTGTTCCGTTTACCTTTTTGTGTCTCTCTTGAGTCTTGTATTTGAAGATCAAATTTTCTGTTGAGCTCTGGTCTTTTTATCAGAAAGGTTTGGAAGTCCCCTATTTCGTTGAATGTCCATCTCCTGCCCTGAAAGATCATGCTCATTTTTGCTGGGTCAGTCAGAGATTTATGGATGGGTGGAGGCACACACACACCACCACTGAGCAGTTGTTGCCTTTCTTAATACAAGAGTCCAATTCATCATCACCCCAGGCAGCAAGGTGCAAGTTGCAAGGAGTAAACTTTCTCATGCCTTTCCTGCTAGCTCAAGAGCTTCGGTGACAGTTCCATGTTCCAGGATGGTTGTAAAGTATATAAAAACAGTTGCTGTGAAAAAATTTTTGAAGCAAGTTTCACTGATAAAGGCCTCATTTCTCAAACATATGGAGAGCTGAGTCAAATTTATAAAAATAAGAGCCATTCCCCAATGGAAAAATGATCAAAAGATATGATCAGTTTTCAGATGAAGTAACCAAAGCAATTTATAGCCATATGAAAAAATACTCTAATTTACTATTGATTGGAGGAATGCAAATTAAAACAATTCTGAGGTACCACCTCATACCTATTAGATTGGCTAATAGGACAGAAAAGGTAAATGACAAATGTTGGAGGGGATGTGGGAAAAATGAGACATTAATGCATTGTTGGTGGAGTTGTAAACTGATTCAACCATTCTGTAGAGCAATTTGGAACTATGCCCAGAGGGCTATAAAACCATGCATACCCTTTGACCTAGCAAAACCACTACAATGCCTGTATCCCAAAAGAGATAAAAAGCAAAAAAGGTCCTATATGTACAAAAATATTTATAGCTGCTCTTTTCTGGGGGCAAAGAATTAGAAATTGAGGGGATGCCCATCAATTGGGGAGTGGCTGAGCAAGTTGTGGTATATGATTATGATGGAATACTATTGTCCTATAAGAAATAATGAGCAGGATGCTCTCAGAAAAACCTGGAAAGACTTGCATGGGCTGATGCAAAGTGAAATGTACTATGTATAAAGTAACAGCAATATTGTGTGATGATCAGCTGTGATCAGTTATTCTCAGCAATACAACGATCCAAGGCAAGTCTGAAGAATTTGTGATGAATAATGCTAACCATCCCCAGAGAAAGAACTGATGGTGTCTGAATACGGATTGAGCATTCTTTTTTTTTTTAACTTACTTTATTTTCCCTGAGTTTTTTTTTGTCTGTGTTTTCTCTCACAATATGGCTATTATAGATATGCTTTGGATAACTACATATATGTAACCCTATATCGAATTGCTTGCCTTCTGAATGAGGGGGTGTAGGGAGGGAGGAAGGGAGAGAATTTGGAACTCAAAGTTTTAGAAATGAATGTTAAAAATTGTTTTTACATGTAACTGAGGAAAAAGAAAAAAAATACTAAATATAAAAATAGTTGCTTCCATATGTCTGTGGTTCCTGGTAGAAGATTTCAGGTGTCAGTAAATTTGGTGGACTGGGAACTGGAAGTCATCTCTCTTGTAAGGGGAAATGATTTTTGTCTTTGACCTTCCCTAGGAGTCCATTCCAGCCATTTTGAATTGTGCATAAAGCTTTCTTATACACACACTCACATTGGAGAATGGTCTAAGTCAGCTGGAAAGAGCCAATTGTAAAATTTTCAGTGTAAGCATTTACACCTTGGAAGTCCCCTAGTGTTGCACATCAGGGCTTGATTTATTGTTTTGTTGCTTGTCTAGACTTAAGAAAATGACAGTGAAAATTTTAATAATTCAGATTAAACTTAAAAATGTT